AGCTCTCTCTCTCTCTCTCTCTCTCTCTCTCTCTCTGTTATATATATATGTATATATATATATGTATATATATATGGTTTTACAGGAACAAGCATATAGGCAGGACGAGTAGTGGCAGGAGTGTCCACATCTACTGCATCCATTTCTTCGCTTGCTTGGTGGTGGCCATTGCTTGATCCATACACACACGTCGAGGCAGAGGAAGTATAAGGCGAAAAGGAAAGGAGTTGTCTTGTGATGGCATGCATCAACATGTTCAACTCGGATCACCAAGGCCTCTGTGGCATGCCGGCAGCGCCACGCATCTCGTTCTCCAGTGACTTCGCCGTGGAGCCGCCGGCGACGCGCACCCCCGGGCCGCCGCCTGACCCCAACTTCGAGTTCGCGGTGGGCAGCCATTCGATGATCGACGCGGATCAGCTCTTCTTCAAGGGCCGGTTGCTTCCTTTCAGGGACAGCCACCAAGGCGGGCCGCAGCGGATCACCACCTTAAGGGAAGAGCTCGGGGCCAACGACGAGGACGGGGTCCAGTTGGAGCGGCCGCCGAGAGGAACCATCAAGTGGAAGGAGCTCCTTGGGCTCAAGAAGTCTCATTGCAGCTCGGCCGGGGCAGCAGCATCGGAGGTGGTGGCAAAGAAGAGCCATAAGAAGAACGAAGACGAGCTTCCCGTCAAGCCTACACAGGTTAATTTGATTCGTTCTATACTTCATCTTAAATTTTGCATTTGCCTGTAGGAATATGCTCGAAACTCATAATATCACATGATATATGAAGAAATTTGATGGCATTTAGTACCTTAATCTTTAAGTTCTGTTGCATATGCATAACATGTACTTACTTTACAGGAACTACGAGGGCACGGCGAAGCCAATTTTAGTACCTGAAGTGATGACTGTTGAAGGTGCTAAAGCGGCAAAGACAGACGTTGCAGCAGTGTTCAGTGTTTCTTCTTCATCTTGTTGAAGCTGTGGTTCTTATGGTGGAGAGTGGTGATGACTTGTAGGTACTGGGATTTGAAGGAAAACACTCCTTTTGTTTTTCCTAGTAGGGAGTAATGGAAAAGCTAGCTAATTGTGGTTTGTCTGTGAGCGGCTTCTAGGTTGGCATTAACTCTCTCTCTCTCTCTCTCTCTCTCTCTCTCTCTCTCTCTCTCTAGCATATTAATCCATTTGTGTATTATGTGAAGGAATTAATTGTACTTTCAACCAGGATGGTGTTTAGCTGTCTGCTTCCTGTTTTTCTCTCATTTTCCTTATCCTTTTTGTACAAAATGTTTACAGCTGGGGAATCAATTGTGTGATGCTGAATCTGAGTTCAGATCTGTACAGATGAGGAGGCTCCTTCTGTGGCTTTTTATCTCCTCCTTTCTTGTTTGGTTCCACTCGGTTGGGGAACAGATGTGCCTTTGTCCTTGAGTTCGAGTTGTGATAAAGAGAATAGAGACAAAGACTGAGGAGTTCATTTTAAGTTTTTGACTGTGTTTCCCATCTCCAATGCAATGTTCGTTTAAGAGTGTCGCTTCCTCTTGTTATCAGCTCACAGTGTGGCTGATGGCAAAGAAGACAAGAACTGGTGGGTAATGAGTGAGGAAAATGACCAGTACTGTTCTGATCTCTGGAAACTAAGACAAAGGGAGTCACTTGGGAAATGAGCTCAATCTTTTTTCCTTGATGGCAATGGTTTTATTTGGAACAAAAATAAGTTATATAAAGTTGAACACTTCAGCAGGCTTTGGACAGAAGAAGAATGCAACACAAAAGTACAGAACAGAGTGAGCTCATTTTCATCAAGAACATTACTGACAAATGTTTCAGCTTGTTGGAAACAGTAGGTGTTCATCTGCTATTTCATCACAAAAAAAGAGAAAAAAAAAATATATCTTTGCTATTGATTTCAGGTCAGTTTGTTGTTGGTTTGAATGGTTTTAATGTTGCATGATGATCACATAACCTATATCTTCAAGATCTATAAATGAGGGGTGACAGCCAACATTTCTAACTGCTGCCTTCCTCCATGTGAAGCCTGTAGACACAACACTATTAATCTTAATCACCTTCTGAGGATACACATGGTTGCATGCATTACAAGTATCACTACCATCTCACAGCTGACCTTTTTCCAAGATTATCATAATAGAATCATAGCAATTTAGCAGTCTTGTTAGAGAGGTCTAAGGTATCTAGATTTTTGTTGAAATGGCCACCTAATTGCAGACATTTGGAGAACAATTCCATTGGGCATCCTTGATGGCTTTGACTTGTATAAATGGATCAATTTTGTGACACTGGATGAAGCTCTTTGGTGCTTTTCTGTATCTGTACATCTTTTACATGGCACCACAATGGAAGAACTGCATTATGATGGAATCATCTTTTGGTTGTTTTTGAGAGCTTAATGCCTTTCATAGATTAAGGAAAAAAAACCTATTTCTGGCAGTGATGAGTAGTTAAATCAGATCTAATCCTCTGATTGATGGAGGACCTTTTCAGGAAAGTTGCTGGTTTCTTTCTTCAAGAAAAATATCAACTGAAAAATGTTGATACATTTCTCAGCTGGACTAAGACTTACCTCATTATGCAGATCTAGAACAATGTTCCTTGGCTTTAGCTACTTCAATGAGGATGTCCTCAATGCTCTCTCCCTGGTAGTGAGATTTAAATCACCCACCATCTTCTAATCATGTGTTTGATCTTTACTGGACTGGGGTATGCCCCTTCAAATCCTAAACTTCCATGTATCATAACAGGGGAGGAATGCTTGGCAGGAACAGGTGCAGAGAACACACCAGCAATTCATGGCTGGCTGGCTCCATTATGTACCAAGGTCCAAATCCAGCAGCAAGGCTGCATGATTGCAGTCCACCAAGTGGCTGCAATCATCCTGGTGTACCACCTAATTGAATTGTTTCTCCTGTGTTACCATGTCTGGTTGTTCCTGAGCTATTACTCCATCATCTCTACTGTGGCTTAGTTGTAGATCCATGGTTCTGTCACTAAACACTCGAGCAGAGCATTTAATCTCTTTGTTTGTTTATGCCTAAGCACATTGACGACTCCAAATCTTTCATGTTTAGAGTTGTCCTCGAGGCTATCTTTATGCACTCTGTCTGTCCTGTTGAACCTATTCAATTAAGAAGCCACCATTTCTGCCTCTCCCAACCACATCAACCAACCTACATTCTCAAAACGGTAGTCAATACACAGCAAGTGATGTGCTTCAGCACAAAGTTCAGTTTCAGCATTCTTCTTCTGTTCTTTTCTTTTCCAGTTTTTTTTTTTTTGGTATGATGAAAAGCTCTTTAACAAATAGGTTTGACTCATTTGTGTGTAGGCTGTGTTCATCAAACTACAATTGAGAAGCCATTCCACAACAGTATCAAAGTTGGGTTGTCCTTAGCAAATAGTATGTAGGCTGTGTAGGCTGTGTGTAGGCTGTGTAGGCTGTGTAGGCTGTGTTCATGTGTGTAGGCTGTGTAGGCTGTGTAGGCTGTGTTCATCAAACTACAATTGAGAAGCCATTCCACAACAGTCTCAATGAGTTCACATCTCCTTCAACATTAGACTGCCATGTATCAATGATCATCAAAATGATTTGTTTTGGTATAAGATGATCTCTTTCCATTACATTTCATGGAAATGAAGGGATGGAGAAGAATGAGGAGAGAAACTTTGCACTGACTGGTCAGCAAAGTGCAAATAATATTTTGACTGTAACTTCAATATTCAAAATCCGAAATTTAACAGTGTTTGAGTTAATAATAATATATACATAATTTAAAAGAATGGCTTATACGACCAAACATTAACTTTTGATTGGTGTATCTGTGTGTCTTATAAGAATAAAATGACAAAGATGATTCTCCAAAAAGTTTTTGAGTGACAGATACAAAAGTAGCTGCTCTGTCCTCCTTCCCATCTTTCAAAGAGTTGTCTGGAAATCCTTTTCCTTGCAGACAAACAATGAGAACTGCAAGAAACAATCACAGATACTTTTACTATGATAGAATGATGAATCATAATCCTTGACAAAACTAATTCCATTCATGCCTGTGTTAAAGCAGATGATGCTCTGACACTAGCAAATGGGCAATTGAAGGGCAAGCAGTCACATCTCTCATCATTACCTTCACATATAACTCAGTTAGGTGGGAGCTGATTCATCTTAGGTTTCTCTACCATCTTAACACCCAAGAAAAGACTCTGATATCACTCATGGTTTCTGATGATCCTCCTGGAGTAAAGCTCCAAAGTCTGATTGCCTCTGCTTCACATAGCACACAATTATTGGCGAATCCACATTCAACTTGTAATCTACGACCTGAGTTAACATGAAATATACAGTCTTCTGATACTATCTCTCATGTTTCAAACAATATGCTGGTTTCAATAAATTTCATAAATCAATTGAATTTGTCTCTTGAGAAAAATGAATTCCTTAAAAGACATAAAAGTTCTTCTAAGAAAGATTGGAAACGGAAGAGCAGATTGAATTGGGTAACAGAGAGATAATTTTCTTTTGGTTCTTTTATGCACGATGGAACATGGATAAGAACAAAGGTAATCCAACGCAGATTGAATTGGCTGTTGAAAGAAATGGCTAACACAGAGACAAACCTCCATCTATGTACAGCCCGTCATGCGTGTTTCTACTTTGCCATCATTTCTTTACACTGTACGTTCACTTCCCCATCTCAGCATCTACGTTTCTCATCTCTGCTTGGAAGCAATGGAGTTCTTACAGTGTGCTATGGCCGCCTGGATCGCGCTCTGCAACTCTTCCATCGTGCTGTTGTCGGAGGAAGAGAACGTCATGGACGTGGCAGAGAGGAGGCCGCTGTTGGTCGGCGACGTCCGGGTGGAGGCCGGAGCTGAGAACTGCCCTTTCCTCCGCCGCCACCCGTCCTGCTCCTTGCGGTTGGAGTGGCCGGAGAAGGAGTAAGGCCTCCGGTGGGGGTCGCTCTTCTCCTTCTCCCCCTTGAAGGAGAACAGCGGCTCCATCAGGCTCGCGTACTTCTTCAGAAGCCGGCTCATGTCGAACCCCTTCTTCTTCTTCTTGGCGTCCTCCTCCTTCTCTCCGTTTTGCTCATACCTCTTCCGCAGCTTCCCGAGGCCGAAGAAGGAAGAGAAGGTCTTGGCTTTAGCTCGCTCCTTGTTCTTGCCGGTGTCGTCGTGCTGGTGGTGATCGTCGGCGTGGTACCTCAGGCTCCGTTCGCTGTCGACGTGCTCGATGGGGAGGCTCATGTTCTCGAAGGTGATGTCGGAGGGGCGGGGAGGGCTGGTCGGGTGTGAGAGCAGGTGGAGGGGGAGGAGGTGGCCATGGAGGAAGATGTCGTCGGCGGGGGCGAAGTCGACCAAGGAAGCGGGCGTGGACCTGTTGCCGTTCTTGAGGGTGTCGGCTGCTGAGCTCAAAGGAGGCTGGAAGGAGATGGTGAAGGAGAACTCGTGAGAAGGGGAAGCTGCCGCTGATGAAGGTGGAGGCGGAAGAGAAGAAGCCTGGTCTTCGGTAGAATCCTTCACCCTCTCCTCTCGATGCTGCGGTGTGTCCATGGCCCAGACTATGCTCGGTAGATAGAGGTTTGGATGAGATATATACTTGGATCCTCGAGCGTTCCCTGTCCATACTCCACCGGGACATACATAGATAAGCATCAAACTTTATCTTGCCTTTCATGAGAAATCGGAAGAATAAAAAGTGTCACGGATATAGATTTATATTAAGTATTGACTACTAGAAAGCGGAGATTATTATCAGTTGGTGAGCCCTAAACCTTACAAAACAAGAATTAGAGTCAACTGTTGGATCTTAGAACAAGGCTCGTTGAAGTGTTCCTTTGTGGAAATTGTGCCACGGGAAGTCCGCATTGCAGCGATCAGAAGGAAAACACGCATCTTCTACGTGTGTTGTTGACTTGTTATGATGGATAGACGGCAGGCATCGGTGCCTACAAAGCATTAAAGAGATCCTCTCGACCAGTTCCAATGTGGAACAAGCTGTTTAGTCATTGTTTGACTACAGTCAAGGAGCCAACACAACCCTAATTAACCCGGGTGGGAGTGTGTCTTTTCAAGAGGGATCGCTTTCATCTGTAGCTTATCTTCTGCCAGAGAGAATTTTAACCATGATTGAGGTGCTTTGTTCTCTAGCATTTGGTCATACCTGTGGATTCTTCGCTGATGAGAACGCTGCGTCTGTCTGCTTGCATGACGGTGGATGTCTCTACGTACCGTGTCAGCACGCCAGTGCGCCGATGCTGGTCGTCGAGCTTGTGCACGCACGTGTGCTTGTCAAAGGAGAGGGTGCAAAAGAGCCATACGAGAAGCGTCGATCACATAAAAAGAAGAAGCACTGAGAACATGAATATATATATAATGGAGCGAGAGAAGCAGGGGCCTGTGGCTCATCATCATGGAGATATCCCATCCCACCTTTTCCCCTTGTGCGAGTGATGTGAGAAGTGCAATCATGGGAGCCGGAGGGTGGTCCTGTGGAGCAAAAGTTTGAGACCGGGGAATGAGATTGATGGAGTCCGGAGTGATGAGCACGTTCGATAGAATCCAAGTTGCCGCCCATGCTCACATGGGAACAAGACGCCCAGCCAACTGCAGGTAGGACGCCCCTATCAGATATGCCTTGGGTGTGGAAGAGAACGGTGCCCACATTTCGTCCGGTTCTTTGTAGGAAGACTGAAGGCTGATGAAATCTCATTCACCTTTGTGCTCTCTGTAGCCATTGATCTCGAGTTTTGGTGAGAGAAAAGAAGCATAAGACTGACGTACCTCTGCTACTAATGGATGTTGTCACATTATAACTCTCTCTCTCTCTCTCTCTAAATGAACAGGGACCTATCGGGTAAGCCGATGGCCATTAGTACCACCAGCTGCATGTTATCGAACAAGGCTCACAGGACCCGAACGCCGATTACTGCCAAGAAGGATGAGTGGATTAACGCTGGCCTTGTACTTTGTGAATCCGATCAGCTTAAGAATGTCTTAGATTCACAAGGGTGAAGTGTCCTCCGGTGTTCTAATTTGTCTATTACCATCTCTTTCTTCAGGAACTCGGGAGTCGATCACTAACATGTTGCTGGTTTTGTTCCTGGCAACTTGTACGACGGATAAGGTTTTTCGTATTATTTGTGTTGGATATGCAATACAATGAGCTCATGATAACCATGTCATAATCTACATCCAGTTCTGAAGGCAGTGCAGACAGAACAATCAAAATTTCCCTGGGCGAGCAATCAAGAGCTGCGAGACAGCCAAATCTCAGTGGCGAAGGGGATGGACCGATCACCTTTTTGCAGCAAGTGGATCTCATGTGACACGCCCTCACAAGCAAACATTTTTGTGTTCTAAGCTGACAATGGAAGCAGGAAGGTTCATGAACATAAGAGAGAACTCGCAGGCCCTACACACCACCTTCTATAATTCTTCTTTTTTCTCAGGCAGGCAGAGACTTAAACCTCCCACATACGACTCCCATACGAGTGCTAAGATTAAAGGGTCTTCTTTGGTCTACAATTCCTTGTTGGAAACAAGTCACAGTCCACACCTAACATGTTACCTGAGCTGCTATCATTTAGTTCTAAAACCCTGCACAGCCCTTGATACAAACAAGGGCCAACCATGACAGCTGTAGCAGACGTCCCAAAGGCTTTATGATGGACATGGATATGGACCGCTGGTCCTTGAGACAGTTAAGAGCTTAAAGCAAGTTCAACATCAATCTCAGTTTATAGGAGAGAGCTTTGGCTTTTGGTTTAGAGCTTTGGAATTAGAGAGAGAGAGAGAGAGAGAGGAGCAAGTGGAAGCAGGACCACCAGGGCATTAAGGATGATACGAACTTGGAATCGTGAGGTTTGGAAACGTTGGCAAAGTGCACACACACAAGGAGATGTGATAGATGATGAGCTGTTAAATGTGATAGGGTTGGCTTTTCATATGCACTCAGGTCAGCATGTAATCTCATATTCCATATGATGATGATGTTTCACTGATGGCGAAAGCTTATTCTGTATCTTGCAGAAACATATTCTGATAGTGTTTGGAGAGAATCGCAGAATTAGCAATCGAAAAGTTGATCTTTTCAGGTGTTAAGATCCTACTAAGTCCAATCCACTCGAACAGATTCTAAAGTGAGACTTAAATAGCAGCTCATGTGAAATAGGAGGGCTCTCATAATGAGATATGACATGTATCATTTCCCTCATGTCTCCATCCTGATTCTGAAACCAACAAGAGAACTTTGGTTCCGTGATGTCCTCCTCCAAATGGAGCATGCTCTTGACGTGGATCTCCAATATGAATATATATATACACAGGGAAGAAAGTGACACATCCTATGCATTGAATCCATCTCCCCTTAGAACCACTTATATTAGTAGATTTAGATGTACAAAAGTAGTCAGCTAACCCATCATTTGAATATAACTCATAGCCGATCTTCAATCAAATCTGTGTTTACTAGTCATAATGAAAGCATTTGTACTGTCCCTCATGAGTTGCTTACGAGTACGTGAATATATATATATATATATATATATATATATATATATAATCATGATTATGAAATTAATTAAATTCGAGCCCAGTCGTAGCGGCCTTCCATCGGGACGTCGTCGATGACGTCGTAGTTGTACCTGCGACGAAACGGAACGGAACGGAGACGGAGACGGGTCAGCTACTAAGTCGGAGGGCAGCGGCTGAAGTACGCGTGCCCGCGATTGGGGTTTGAACTTTAAAGGTTAACCTACTTCTCGGCGAACCGTCGCGAAGCGTCTCTCTCCGCCGTCGCGAAGAACTCATCGATCTCTGCTTCCCAAGGCGCTCCCTCGTCCGCCGTTGATCTCCTCGTTGTCTTCGCCGTCGATCCTAGCTCGCTTGACCGCGTCGTCCCCCTCCTTCACGAATAAAAATGGTTCAGGATGAAGAATGGTTGATTTAAATGAAAGAAATCGGACCTTTTTCTTGAGGTGTCGAAAGAGCTTGGCGGAGCTTCCGAATCCCCGGAGTCCTAATAGAAAAGAAGTGATGAACGAGAATTGGGGTAAATACGACGCGGAGGATTAATCGGGGGAATCGAGAACCTCGAAGGCGACCTCGCTTGTGGCAGCGGCGTTCATCCGCGTGCACGCTCCAGGGGTGGTCACGACGAGGCCGCGTCTTCGAAGACAGAGGTAAGACGTCGGAACCCCAGCGGGCGCCACCGCGGCGGCCTTCCTTCTGTTGCAGCCGGAGACGAGGGCGGAAACAGGGGTCCTCTGCGGCCTGGTGCGCGCCCCCGCTACCTGGGTCACTTCCATCGCCGCGAATATCCCGACCCCTCCACTGCTCCTCTCTCACTATGCCTTGATGGTCGACGCGTAGAAGGGAAGGGGGAGGGAGGTGACTTGATCCGAAGTGACGGCCGTGTTTTATTTATACGGCGGACCGTCAGTTTTGGAGCCTTCGAGGAGCGTTTCCGTGGCCGGTGAAATGTACGATGTTCCGGTGGCCGCATACTAGACTTGCATTTGGAAGTGAGAGTGGAACCGGCTGGTGCCGGTGGATATTTATGGAGTAATTACTTGAAACTACCGTAATGGTAATCGAAAGAAATTGAGACGATATTTATATTATGCATGGTAAAGAAGTTATTAGTACTTCCAATACAATGGAATAATGTTAGGTCCATCATCACGCTTTGAGACGCGTGCAATAACCTGATTGAAATTTTTTTTAATCATCGAGTGACCGACCATGTCGACACGTCGACGATCGCGATCAATCAATCATGATCGGATGGTAACCAACTAGGCGGCAATCAATCATACACCTTACGAACATTCAATAGATTGGAGTGATTAAAGTACCAGTTTAGCTGTCATAACAGGCACCAGTTTCACCAGCGTGGCCCAGTGACAACACAAGCCTGCCTAGCTACACCCCGAAAGAAGACGCAACTGAAGAGTAAAGAAGGAGAGGTTCTTAGTGATCCATGGCAGCAGCGGAGAAAGAACCGAACGGGGCGTCAGGATTGCTGAAGAAAAGGGGAGGGTGGGCGACGAGATACTATACTACCTTGCAGGGTGGCATCTTGGCGTAGGACGCTGCTCCGGTGGATGCGGAACTCTTCCTACGACCGAGATGAATGGAGTTGGGTTTTAGCCGCATTAGCTTGCGGAAAGTTTCTTGCAGTCCGTTTCCCGAGGAAGAGGGATACTGCTTTCCCTGGTTTCTTGCTCTCTCTCGTTCGTGACTTCGTGCACGAGTGATGGAAATTCCATTCCATCCCATCCCGCAGCCTCGTAGCAGTCGTAGGCGAAGGTTTCTTTTGCAGGTATTCTTTCTCTCTCGTATGGGACTCATGTGTCAAAGCTGGTGGCACCACCTTCATCGTTTCCACGAGGAGGTTGATCACAGCTCTGTGGCTCAAGCCAAAATGGCAGTTCTTGTCGTCCTCATTGGAGTACGAAAGAGATGAGAAAGAGGAAGAACTATATTCGCCGGTGGCCTATGAAAAACACAGTGATGAGAGTAATAATTGCGATAAGACTCACGTGACATCAGCTATGCCAGGTGACGCATCACGCCTATGTCAACTTGATGAGGCACCCCGTCAATGCGGACCGGAATGCTTGCTGAGGCACATTAACATCCTGTTAAGGCTCGATCCCTCACGCCACGCCAACGGCAATGTCAGACGCTACCGGAAGTACGATCCTGCTCCCTGCGGGCAGGCACATTATACAAAGGTAATTCTCACTATAAAAACCCTCGCGCTCCGAGGAAAAAAGGTGGAGAAAAAAGGAAAGGAGCCCCGAGGACCATCTGCTAACTTGATCGTCGGAGGGGTCGGGTCGAACTCCCCGACTCGACCTTTGTGCATGTGCGCAGGCGGAGGTCGCCCACCGAAGGCGCAGGAGGGGGTTCTCTCCCGGTGGAAACGACGACCCCAGCTCAATCGGAACATCGCGACCGGCGATCTCAGCAGTCGGGAAGAAGTTCCAGGAAGATCCCATCATCCGAACCCGAACCAAACTGCGTCGGTCCCGAAGTCATAACTTAAAGTTGTTTACACTAACACAAAGGTCAATCCAAGGAGCTTTTTCTCCCTTTCCGATGCTGTCATGGTCCACCAATAATACAGTAGTATCCTCACAGCAAAAACATTTCCTGTCCTCGTTGACTTCCGCATACAATTATTTCCACACAGAAACCCTTGTGTGTCTGCATAGTCATCTGGCGACAGATGCCATGACTTCGAAGATCTAACCTCTGCAAGAAGCAAGTTCGAGAGATACATAATGCCTTACCTCCTTATCTGATAGATACGTTAGTGATTCACCAAGCAATGCTTTCCTAAATCCAACTAAAATTTCAAATAAACACCGCTCTGTCAGATTCATATTCCATGGTAGCAGCAGCTGCAAGATAAGGATGGAGTGACTATTTCAGTGAATTATCTGATAAAATCGTTTTCCCTTGCAAGAAACCAAGTATATATATCCTGTGAATCTTAAACTTCCAAAAGCGACGGAGAGAGATGAAACCTCATCAATTCATTCCTGCTATTATATAGGAAAGGAATTTGTTGATACTAATGTGTTGTATGTGGATGTTTTGGAATTATATGAAATATTAAAGATAGTTTAGAAAATAAACTATATGATTATGGTTTTCAATTAGTCAGATTACTAAGCCACACATGAATATATATATATATATATATATATATAATTAAGATACCTCCGACTCGTAGCGTTGCCTTGGCGGATTCAGGGACGATGGGCTCGTACGGCGGCGGGAAGAGGGAGGACAGCCGGTTCGCGTGGAACGTCTTCGACGGCGTCAAGGCCTTCCCTCCTCCTACGCCTGAAGCCCTCATGGATGACATCGACGCCGCCATCTCCGCCCTCGAATACACCCGATCTACCGCCGCTCTACTAGCCTCCTCTTCTTCCAAGGCGGAGGAGGAGGCGGCGCCAGAATCCGAGATTGATCAGCCTCCTGGAACCTCTTCGGAGCCGGTCTACGACAAGCGGATAGCGGACGAGGCGTACAAGGCGGCGTGCGCCGCCCTAGCCGCCGGGAAGCCCGACGCCGCCATCAGGTCGCTTCACGTGGCTCTCGCCAGCTGTCCTCCGGAAAAGACCACGGCTCTCGCCAAACTCCGCTCCCTCCTCGACCTCGCCTCCTCTCAGCAGCAAAAGCAGAAACCACAGCATTAGCAACAGCTTCAGTGAGTTCTTCCCTTTCCTTGATCTGTTTCTTTTTGCCTCTTTCCCCCAATTCCTTCTAATTTACAGCACAATTGAGAATTTTCATGTTATGATTGGACAATTAGATCGATTCCTAAGCTAAAGATTCAAATTAGGATTAGGGTTGTGTATAGTCGGCTACTTGGTGGGATTATCAATTTGACACAAAGGTAATAGTTCTCATTATCTCTCGTTCTAAAGCAGGATATGCAAATTGTGAGATCTATGGACTTGCTCCGTCTTCCTTCTTTTCTCCTAATAGTTAGGAGGGTGTTCTAGATAAATTCACGGCGTTTAACTCTAGCGGCAAAGGTTCTAAAGGTGCTTCAAAAATTTAATTGCAAGAGAATCTTGCATCATCAAATCATGTGCTAAAATTATGTTATACATATGTTTCTATATTCTTGTTTTGTGCCGATAATGATCTTGTTGTACTTCTTCACATTGTTCATGCATTATAGGGGAGTGGTTCAAAAATTGTCTTTCTTATTTGATTATAGAGAACAAAGGAGTGTTGGTGTCAAATTTGATTGTTGTGCAGGTATATGTTGATTACTGCTCAGTAGTAGCAACGAGAAGCTAGAAATATGAATCTATCTTTGTTGAGTTGGATATTTGGATGAGCCCTTGGAGCAAGTTGCTCCTTGTATCATGCATGAGCTTCGCTTTATGAGGATTTGACTTAACAGCGCATATGTGTAATGTATGGAAAATTAAGAAAGACTTCTTGTTAATTTCTTTTATTGTGAAAGATACTCTAGGTTTCTCTCAGATCCCCCCTTTAGACCGAAAGCAGGTTATCTTTTTTTCCCAATTTACTATAAGCATTATTCGTTAGATCTATATTATAGCTAAGCTTATAGATTCTTTGTATATCAACTGATTCTATTGTGCTAATGAATCACATTTGCTAATCTTTTGTTCATTTGCAGGATGGATGATTTATCAATCTAGTTTCAATATCTTGTAGTTGATGGCGATCTTTTCAAATTACATGACCAGGGATATTTCTGTTGACATCCTTCATGAGGGTTCAACTGCCCACTTGCGTCGATATTGATTCTGTAGGTTCAAAAAAATTTTGAAACTGAAATGTAGTCGATTGTTGCCATACGAACTGCATGTAATGCGGATGCCAAGTTATAAGAAGATTCTGTTCACTTTTCATTTTGAGTTGAGCACTTGCCATCTATTTGATCTTCTCGATTTCCCATGAAGCGAAATGATTGAATTGTTTATGAAGTCCTTAACCTGTATCACATATGCTTAGTCTTTATTCTACCTCCGATTTAAGGTTTTAGGTTGAAGAACCTTTTACATGCATGTTCATATGTCACTATAGTTGCTTGGCGGGTCCATCACCTTTTTTTTTTCTATTGCAAGTATGACTTTCTTTGCTCAGGAAAACAAATGCAGCTCCCATCCGATATCTCCGAGTCCCTTCCAGAACTCATCAAGGTTGCTTGGGTGCAGGGTTTTACAGCTCCTACCTCAGTAATGCCTCTTCTTTGAGCTCAGTAGATGATTCTTGGCAGTGAACTTGATCGAAAAGAGGTTCGACCACTATGCCATTGTATTTATTAAGAACTTGTGTAATATATAATATCTTTCATCATTCTCCTATCTCTTGATGCAGTATATGTTCTCTCCCTTCATCAGGTGATATTACTGGTGATTCGAAGTCTAGCAACGCAGGCCAAGTTTGAGCCCACAGAGTAAGTTTTCTCAGGTATATGTTTCAACAAATATAAATATTTAAATGGACTAAAATTCCAAGAGTGTGCTTTCTCTTTCAAGTGCAATGGAGGGCAGGGCTGGGTTAAAGCGAAAAAATAGTTTATTTTGATTAATTTTTAAGCCAAATATAATTAGTCCAAATATACCATAGAAGACTATCTCAACCCTAGTTTTTCATTCCCCATATTTGTAGTTTGCTTATAGCATATTACATTCTTTTACATGGCTGTTCAAGTAGCACAGAGTGTAGCATTGTGCATCAGCTTTCCATTTATTACTGTGTCAATTGGATGGTACAATACCATCAAACAGAAGAAGCATTTAGACCTTGTTAACCAGCATACTTATTTCAATCTTTCTGATGAGCAGGGGTTTAAGACATCGGTTGCAGTAAAGATCTTAGGAAGCTGGTGGGAGCTTTCCACGGAGGAAACTGGAGAACATCAACAATGCTCGCTCAGGTTGGTAGGTCGGAACCATGTGCCCTGCTCCCTTTACCGTAACAAGCGTCAGTCCTCCATAACCAACGACATAGCCTCCTACCTGATAACATATATCCAAAAGTTACAGAAGCATCAGATCTGAATCTAGACCCTATGTCCTACACATCGTAGTTCTTCAGATTCTTTCGTCTTATCCAAACCTTATTTGAGATCGATGACAGATTGCCATTTACCTGTTTGTCGGAATACCATGCACGCCATGGGTTCTTGATCGGCAACTTCATGATTTTGATCGCCTTTAACGTGCCTTTGTACGGGCATACCATATCGGTATCACCACTGTGAGACATCCGAATAGCAAGAAAGACAACTATGACTTTATGCGTGTAGATTTTGACGAGAAGGAAAAGGAATGCTAAAGCAAGGATAAGAGGACCTGAACAGCCACACCCTCAACCCACTGTTGACGAGCTGCTTCATGACCGGCACTGTGCTCTTAGGACTGTCATTCCAAGGGAGATCACTGCATGATACTCGAACAAGGAAAGGTCAGCGTGTGTAAATGTTTCATCCGCTCATGCTGATCTTTAAAACAGACACAGAGACAAGCAATCAGTACGTGCAAGAACTCCATGGTCCATCAATCTTGGTAACATTCGCATGAAGAGCCTTTTTGCACCTCAGGATCGTTCAGGTACGCCTCCACGTAAGTATCCGAGCAGGGATCTATGTCGGCCATCTGTTGTATTTGATCATAAACATCTAAACTTCATCTGGAAGCTAATCATCGTAACTTATTGTCAGCAGGAATGGATATCTTACCGCTACGCCAGACTCGGAAGAACTGTTGGAGCCAACGCAAACGGGAGCATAGACATTGTAAGGATCGATGTTTCCGGTCTCTGCAGCAACAGCAGCTGTAGCTTTGTTGCACTCTTCGTTTATGATGGCAGAGAAGTTGCAGAATCGACGAGTTCTAGCAAATGTCTCATCGGATATTAGTGCGTGACTCCACAAAAACTCGTACCTTGCTTCGCTGTTGGTTACTTCATCAACATAAGCGTTCCCAATCTAGGAGGAAACATCACGCATGTCGTATCGGTTGAGCTGTAGCAGACGAGCCAAGACTCTCGTGAGATCAGATTCACTTACTGCAATGGCACTGAGGTTGATGAGAGTCCGGTTGGCGAGCTCGTTGCGGTGCAGCATGAGCGAGGCGAGTTGGGGGACGCAGTGGCCGGCGTAACTCTCCCCGGCGATGAAGAACTTGCGATTCTTGTAGTGGGGGAATCTCTCCAGCCAGTTTAGCAGAAAGGTGAATGTATCTTCCGCGGTCCTCTTGTCTCCGCTTTGATCATAATCTGTGGTAGTATTCGAGTACGAGAAGCCAACCCCTGCTGGGGATTCCAAGAAGAGCACATTGGCCACTGTCACAGTTGCAGCCGGTCATCATCAGAACATGGTCCAAGTGCTCAAGATTGAAGTAGAAGAACCTCCCATTACCTTCATTCCAAGCATAAGGATTTCTTTCGAGCGTTTTGCCATCGCTTTTTACTCTGAAAGGGCCGAGTTCTTCCATGGCTCCGTATGCCAGAGAGGAGCACCCTGGCCCTGCAATCAGAGAACACATACATGATCGAGATCATCCAAGGAAAACGAAGCTGTAGGAGGTCCAAAATCCAACGGCAAGGCATGCAGATCACCTCCATTAAGCCACAAGACGAGAGGCTTGGACGAAGACCTGTGAGGGGATTCGACGAAGTAGTAGAACAGTGCCCTCCCCTTCTTCGGGTCAACCGTCACGTGCCCTGCATACTGATCGAAGTCAACGCCGCCGGGTTGCCCCGGCAATGCTGTGATCTTATCGGCGTCCCTCAGGCCATTCTGAGGGCCGACGTAGACCGCCGAGGAGGCCGAGTCGGCGGCGTCGAGATCGAGCCATGGGTCAGGTTGATCCGACCATGTCGATCTCTTGGATTCAGTCAGCCTTATTAGTTGCTCAGCCTGATTCGCTTCGTTGACGTGGAGCAGCGAGACACTGCAGGAGACGAGAAGCAACGTGATGCATGCAAACCTCAGAGGCTCTGTTTCCATGTAGCTTGACGACGAGAGAGAGAGAGAGAGAGAGAGAAAGAGAGAGAAAGAGAGAGAACTGTAAAGGCCGGCCAACTACTAGTATTTGGATAGTCGGTCTTTACTTAGGAAGACAGGTCATGGGAGAAGAGTATACCGTTTGAATACTATATATGACCAATATAGCTGTCATGGGTGCGTTGTGAAAACCTTATCGAACATATGTGTTTACCTACACGTATGTGTGGCTCTCATCGTCTTGGTGGTCACGTAGAACTCTATCTTCTTGTATATCCTTAGAATTATTTTTGCTATAATTGTATGACAATTAAAGATATATTTCCCCATCTGAAAGATTAGAGAAGAATTAAAGAAACAAGAAATAAAGGAGAAGAAGAAACTATATGCAATGAGAAGAAAGTGGGAATAAAATTAGGAAGAACTAATGCATTACTAATGCTGGATGTTACAACATTATCTTTGTGTGAAATTCTAAAATTGACTATTATTTAAGTTATAATATATCCATCCTAAAGAAAATGAGAGATTCAATGGTTTAATAACACAAGAAAATACAGGAATCTTTTGTATGCTTGTGAAATCCAAAGAAAAAGAAAAGATATATGTCAATAAAGTGACAATTCACATGCATGCATAAAATGAAAGTAGTACATATAATTTGTGATAATATTCATTCAATCATAAGATAATAATGATACAATTTTGGATTGAAAGATAGATAGATGGTCAAGTTAGGCCCAAAGCATCAGATGGTCTGTAAGCAAGTTGAACTGATATTTCAGGACAAGCTTGGCCTTGAGTTCAACAATACTTACCATATTACAACACCAAAAAGATTAGTGTTCTATTGTAGCTTACTTATTTCTTTATCCCTGCAATATGATTCACATAAGAAGAAGAAGAAGAAGAAAATATATCTGCAGTGCTCATGTTATAAAGTTGGAAAAAGGAAAGGAAAAATAAATAAAAAAATTATGATATTAAAATAGCAATTAGTTGGTTAATGTTCAAATTAGAGGTTTGTGTACATGAGAATTGTTGGCTCCACATAAAAAGAGATAATAAGCATGTCATATTGGATCATTGAGGACGGTGTATGTAATCAACTTAACATCCACTACTCGAGATATTAGAACCCTAAGTAACACCATCTATCTTGGTAGATAGATGCATGCATGTTGCATGAGCTTGGGACTGAAGACACATATTTCTTAAGAGAGGAGAAGCAACAAATCATTGACGAATCATGCATGCATGCATGCATGCACTGCGATGACTTCAAAAAGAAGGGTGCGGCAGACATGGTGGGGAGTCTCTTTATTGAAGAAGGGGAAAGGCATCATCACATGGCATTGGACCACAAAGCGGTCACTTCTCTTGTCGACGGAAGCCTTCTTCTTGCTTGGGAGACTCGTCTCGTCCCACACAAGTCCTCCTGTGGTGCAGGAAACCGGATGTGTTGTCTCCAGTCCACTACCCAATTCCAAAAGATGATGAAGAAAGGACACGAGAAAGAGAAGCAAGAAAATGAAATCTCAATATCATCAATATGAACCCATTTCTTCATCATTAATTTAGATACCTAAAACACAAGCACTGTTCATCGACGAGGATGATGAATGAATCAGGCGGCGGCGAGCTAGCCAGCGAGAGAAGACATATATATCCTTGAATGGGAACGCAAAGATTTTTCCCAACACCTCGTCATCATCACATCTCAATCAAATAGAGGGGGGCTGTGAGAGTAGTTCTTGTGCTTTGGCCTCCGTCGACTCGTCTTTCTCTTCGCCGTCCGTCGGAACATGCAGACGACAAATCATGAGATCTTTCTCTTTTGGCATTCATTTGATTTGTCGGCAAATACTTGTGTCTCCTGTACCTCACACAGGATTTGTCTATACGAGTTAAGAGATGGCCACGATGATATAGCCTTGTCCTCCCCCTTCTTAACCTACATAAGAACAAGCGCAAGATAAACCATGAGAGAAGAACAGCTTCGGACAAACAAAAGCAATGCATCTTCCCAAGACAGAGATATGTCGTGGAATTGAGATATGTTTGGAGAAGGAGGGATATCTGCAGAATAATAATTGAGGGTTACGTGAAGAAGGAAAAGCATGGAAGCCATGACGTTTGCCCTCCTCGATTGGTCCCATGGGCACATGCCAATGTATCACACAACACAAAGGAACCCTTCCTTCTCCTCCTTTTCTCCTTCACAAACCCTAGTGGTCCGACCCCACCCCCACACACCTTATCCCATCGATTCTTCGACCCTAATCTTTCCATCACTCGTGTCGGTCACATCACATTTAGCTCGGGCTGTGCCTCCTTTCCACTTTAATAAAGCAAAAGGATTCCATGGACACCACCAAACCAACCACTTTATCTACATCAACCGAGTCCCTCACTTCACCCCCGACATATGTAGAGAGAGAGAGAGAGAGAGAGAGAGAGCGAGAAGCTAAACTTGCACCGTGCTGATCCACAAGACCAAACTCTCCACTGCAGGATGCCGTCGTTGGTAGAGTCGCCAGGGATGGTGTCATTGCTCCGGCATGCTGCCGAGGAGCGGCGGTCCAAGCGGGGGGGCGGTGGGATGTTTCGGATGTTCAAGCTGCTCCCCATGCTGACTTCTGGTTGCAAGATGGTGGCGCTACTAGGCAGCAGGCCGGGCAAGGCGATGCTGGCCGACAAGGCGATCGCCGTCACCTTGTTCGGGTACCGGCGAGGAAGGATCAGCTTGGCGATTCAGGAGGATCCCAGGTCGCCGCCCTTCTTCCTCATAGAGCTGCCCATGCACACCAGCTTCCTCCACAAGGAAATCGACTCCGGCCTGGTGAAGCTGGCACTCGAGAGCGATACCAGGACGCACCGGAAAAAGCTGGTGGAGGAGTACGTGTGGGCGGTGTACTGCAACGGCCGGAAGTCGGGGTACTCGATCAGGAGGAAGAATGTCACCGACGAGGAGCGGCACGTGATGCAGCTGCTGAGGGGGGTGTCGATGGGCGCCGGCGTGTTGCCGTGCCTCTCCGAGAAGGACACAGCCGACGGGGAACTCACGTACATGAGGGGGCGGTTCGAGAGAGTGGTGGGATCCAAGGACTCGGAGTCGTTCTACATGATCAACCCCGACGGCTCCGGCGAGGCGGAGCTGAGCATCTTCCTGGTGAGGCTGAAGTAAAGGATTCTTCTCTGGCTCTCCATGCATGTATTATTCCTACGTACGTGCACTGCATGCATAGCCTGTGAATACAGGGGGATCATCATGATCTGTGTAGGTATCATCTCTTACTGTTCTTGCCTTCCATCTTTTTTAGCTTGGCTTGTATTTGGGGATTGGGACAGACACAAAAATCACGCATAAAATTGCGATCCAAATCAAACTTTTGATATATATATATATATATATATATATATATATATATATATATATATATATATATATATATATATATATATATATATATCCAGCATTCACTAGAACATCAGAATGGTTGAGATCATAATGAGGATTTAAAGAATTTTCTTGCATTGACATCATCTGCATAGCTTGATGCTTTGTACTTGTGATCTCGACACGTTACACTGATGATCAAATATATTAAAGTTCGGGCAAAGAGTAAGTGATGAAAATAAGATTCGACCTTGTAATGATATATTAAAGCTATAATTAAAGATATCGAAAATATTCATGCATACGAGATGAGAGATGAAGAATAAAGATAATAAGGAAAAGTCCAAACCCAAGAGTGAGTTGGATATTACTATAATTTTCATCCCCAATGATATTGAAAAGTCCATCCCAACTGGGTATTAGAATAATTTCCATCACCAGTGATGGATACAAGTATAATTCCCATGCCATTTTGAAAAGTCCAAAACCTAACATCTTTCACACAAACAGTGAATAGCTTTTGAGGGCAATTGGCACCCCAAAGAGAGACATCTCCATACTTAGCCCAACCCACAATGGCCAATAAAGAGTCCTCCTTGTTGAGACAAGTGATCACCATTTTGGCAAACAAAACAACTTTAGCAGTGTTTAGGACACTAATGCTCAATCCACCATCACAGTTAGGTATAGTGACCTTATCCCAAGCAATGAGATACACCTCAAGTGTCTAGATGAGGAATATAAGACAAACGTACATGGGTAGAGAGAGGGCCTCTCCGAGGAGAATTGCCCTTCCTAAGCCTGAATACAATTGAAAACATAGACCAAACCCAAGCCTGCCCAACTTCATGTTGGGTTCTTGTCAGATTCATGAATCATGTCAAGTTTTGGCACCTCCAAGAGCAGGACATTGATCCAAAGAATGGTAATACTTTCTTAAAGCACCAGATCAGAAAATAGTATTTAAATATCTGGGAAACAAAAAGTTTTTATCTGCAGAATCCAACAAAATGTTTGAATGTATCCATGGCCAAAAAGGTCAGTTGTAAGTCTAAAGGAAAAGAAATGATTTGAGAGAATTTCTCATGTTTTTCCAGCTCAAGGGATCCGAAAACTTGTCTCCTCAGCCCCAACTGTATACCTGCAGCTGGAAAATGAATGATCAGATCGTATCATTTGCTTCATTTTCAGTAAAATAGACGGAAAAAAATCACAAACCTGAAAACTCTTTATGCTAATCAAAACTCTGATGTATAGGAGCCATGTATCCAGAAAATTCATGCAAAAAAATTCAGACAAAGCTCAGATTGCATCAGCCATTCCTATCCTGCAAAGATTATCATCAGAGGTGCAGTGTCGAGCTCATGCAAACACATGCTTGCCAGTGATTTCCTCGAAACTTTCAACTATTGATACTCGAAATCATTCCGTAAACGTACATGTCATTCTTCTAGAAGCTTCAACAATAGAAGGTATGATCTACCTCGTTATTTTCTTCTGGTTTGACAGAGGTCTGGAACATTCTGGAATATGCCTTCCGTTCCTGGTCTCGTCTATCAGCAATCTGCAGCCAGCCGATTTAGCAAGAAGGGGAATTATCAAGATTGTCAAAGGCACTTCAGGCTTGATATTTACGTACCTTTTTCTTAGCAGCTGCAAGCTCTCTCTTTATGCCTCCTAAGAACATGAGGAAATCGACTCAATATCATGTAAGTTGCAGCAGGTGAACGGATGTGCAGTGACAATGTTGCATACCATCATTCGGCTCTATCTCCAATGCATTCTTGAAGCTTTCAACTGCAGCATCCACGTCGTTAAGAGCCATGTATGCCTGGTAGAATTTCAATTGAATATCTTGCATGGTCATTAATTATATAAACAATTTTGTCAAATGAACATATCAATAAACCACAAGGCATATTCTAACAGCATGACATGCATTTGGCATGTGAAGATGCATTTAATTGCATTACATAAATAGAAAATATTAAATAATAAACAATCAAAAGTATGTGCTACCTGTCCCTTGAGGACATTCAAGAATAACAAGCATTTGCACATTGTACCCAAACATATGGCTCTACATGGATACAGAAACAAAGATGAATGGTTCATCTAACATATAGATCTGAGCATAAACTCAGGTTCACTCGAAGATTGGATTCATCAGATGTAATCAACATCCAAACTGGTGAATCTTGTTGATGTAAATTCAAGAGAAGTTTGGAGCATATCAAACAGTCAAGGTCATAATTGCATCCCAAGTAACCAAACAAACATTTTGTTGCAGGTTTAAAAGTGTAGACTTAGTGTATGCTGTGAAAAGAGTTTTAGCGGTATATTCAACTTGAGAAAGGAAGTTTCAAAGAGAACTTTTGAGTTGAAGCAAAGAGAAATGGTAATATATGTAAATTGCATTAGATTATTACTTGTCACATCAGCTGGATTACAACCAAACAAAATACAGATTTGTGGAAGGGGGATGACTGATTCAAAGAAATCAACATATCCAAAGACTATATAACAGCCTAGCACTGGCTCAAAGTATTGAAGAACTGAGTTGAAAATTAATATCAAGAAGATCCATAGGAATTTGCATGATAAAAATAAACCATTCCAAGAAAACTAACCTGACCTTGGCGGAAATAAGCTTTCGCATTACCCTCTCTTTCACGCAATGCAAAGTCAGCATCTAACAGGGAACCTTTCAGATCTCCCAACTTCAATTTGCAAGCCTAAAGAACAAGCCGGACCACCAAACCAAAAGAGTAAATACCATAGTGATCAATGAGATATTCAGGAAATATGTAATTCCAGAGCATTGTTTTCTACGTAACTGAACAGAAAGCAATCTTTAGATAGAAATTATTGCACACACTAAATGTGCAATAGAAGCAAGTTCATCAAAGTTCAAGTTAAAACTAGTAATAAAAGGATGTCTGCCAGATGAACCTGTGCTGTCAAGTTGTCATAGACCATATGGTTGGATATATACCAGGGTGAAGAACTCCAAATGGCAGGTCAACCAAAAGTGTACATCCTACCAGCCTATAAATTTTTAACATTTTAAGATAATTCAACATTCACAACAATTATATCATGATATCTATGAAGAAAGAGGTTACACAGACATTATAGGAACCAAGCATACTAAAAGTCAGAAATTAGCATAAAAAAGCTTTATGAAATAAGAATAAGGTCATAAATTCAAGATAGCAGATACATAATTTCTGAATATTCTGCTATTAAGAGTAACTTCCCAAACCTAAAGATACAGGTAATTAGCCCTCAACACCATATTCTTTGTCGAGGGTTTGCCATGCAGAAGAGCAGATTGGTTAGTGACAATAAGAGATCATTTAGGATAAGTTATCAATAGTGCCTTCATTAAAAGACAGGATATAAGAAATCAACAAGGTTATTAACCAAAATTATGAGATTTATTCTTAAATATCTAAAGCCGATGTTAATCAAAGGCAGGATAGTCAAAATTGACATAGAAAATGCATAAATTCCCTGGTCTTCATCTATGTTTTCAGTGCCTCCGGCAACATTTATATTATTCTAGAAATTGGCATTAATAGGTATTGCCATAAACATTTGTTGATAGAGAAGCTGGCAACAAAAAATGGTTGCACATAAGTTAAAAAATTAAAACACTCCAAATACATAAATTCTATATACATGAACAAGATGTCTCCAATTATTCAAATCTATATAAAATAATATAATTATATTTTTAAAAATAATCATAAAATACAGACATTAAAAAATGTCTGACTTATTTGCAACAGTTTTGTCAAATAATATTGTCCAAATACAAGATGAGGAAAAGATCCAAAAGCAACAAGCTAAAAAATTTTCAGTCCAAATGGTCATTAAAACATTGCTCAAAACAAAAAAAAAAGACGGGGAATAGCTTTACTAGTTTAAGACAGGGAATAGCTTTACTAGTTTATTACAAAGGGAATCATGAGCACAACCATGTCATAGATGCCCTATGGTCTTTGATCAAGAGACAAGGTGACATTGACCAATAGTCAGCTACTAAAGTTCTTTATGGGAAATGTTCCTGATTCAGGAAGGACTGTTCCAGGCTAGAAAACTCTTTCAGAACAAATCAACAATCGAGGAAAATGCCCTACTAAGATTTCATGTAGCAAAATTTTTCCTAGGGCAACACACAGGTCATATGTTGATGAAAGAGAGATAAAGATGTGCATATTGTGACTGGTGGAAAGACCTAGACGAGTCAGCAGCTAGGAAAAGCTAAAAACCAAACTTTTCAATCATTCACAATCTTCTCAGAAAAAAGGATCCATAAAATATTTGGTCATGGAAAGCTACTCTTTCATTAATTCCAGATTACAAGTATGAGGTTGTATATATTCAGTCAAAAATTTCAATCCAGCAGCACTAATTAAAGACAATGAAGGTTCAAGAACTAGTTAATTTATCTATGCAGTTGGCGAGATCTTAGTTGGCTTTTGACCTTTTGAAAGATGGCAGACAAATTAATGAAATAATGACCAACAAAATGTCAAGTCATAAAAAAATTCAAGAAGATTATGAGTGTACTCCCAAGGGAATTGAGACAGACATAAGGAATGGTCGAAGAGTGAAGAATGGACAGACAACAAGTAGCAAGAAGATGCCCCTTTTCTCCTTAGGGAAGAACGGCATGCATCTGATACTTTGGAGTCTGAACCTCTAAATTCGAATTTAAAAAATAATGCAAAGAAACTCTTTTTTCAAGTTTTCCAAAACAATTTCAATATCTCAACATCAAAAGTCAGAAATGATAAATATATCAAAATAAGATTTTAGCATTGTTGACCAATACATGTCATGTTGAAGAGCAATAACTTGGAACCATTTAGTAATTCCAGTCCTCCAAAAAGACCTTCATAATCCAAATAATCTTTTAAATTTAATTCTCATTCAAATTTACAAGTATATCAAACATATTCTGGAACTATGTAAGGAGAATCCAAAAGCAAGTTTTTATCATAAACAAAGCACTAGAATTCCTCAATCTGCTAGTTTAGTGTGTGGATAAGAACATAAAAGCTTACAGAACTATTTGTCAGTATAATTGACTTAGTCTTCCGCAACAACAAACTCTTCTCTGCACAAATGAAAGTCAAGAAGAGCAGAGTGATTTAACTAAGTTAAAACAAGTTTTAGTTAGACAGCACAAAGAGCTAGAGAAAAGTTACTTGCCTTCATCAATCTCTTCCTTTTCCCAACATACGTCCAAGTAGCGCATAGCTTTCCTGTATTTTTTAAGAGCCATCTTATAATCTTGTTTCTGCAGGGGGTGTAAGTTTTTATAAGTTTTGTATCAGTACATATAAGCAATTCAACAAATATAAAGGATTTGCACAAAACAAGCCAAGCTGTCCAATTATGTACAAAATAATTAAACAAAACCCATAAGTGCTAGAGCAAGAAATAATAGAAGCAAAACCAAAATTAAATTAAATCTAATGACAAAAAAGAAAAAGAGAGAATAAGGGAGTAGCATCAAACAGGTTCCACCTTGAAGTAATCATTCCCAAATGTTTTAGCAGAGTTGACAGCGTTCATCCACCAAGAAACCTCACTCGGTTTGTCATCAAGGTCAAGAGGCCAATCAGCATAGAAGTCACCATCTCTGAAGAAGTTTGACACACCATCATCAGCCCCCTCAGGAAGTTCACCACAGTCAGCAATTACAACATCAACAGTGGGACAATCAGCATCACCAACAGGAGTGTGCTCAATTGACCGAACCACTCCCATACCCTTAAGAACCTTTCCAAACACAACATGTTTTCCATCTAGATGAGGTGTTCGAGTAGTAGTGATAAAGAACTGGGAGCCGTTGGTGTTAGGACCAGAATTGGCCATTGACAACATTCCTTTTCTTTCATGTTTCAATGCAAAGTTTTCATCCTCAAACTTTAATCCATATATCGATTCTCCTCCAGTACCATCACCTGCAGATATATCTCCCCCTTGTATCATGAAACCTTTAATGACACGATGGAAGCATGAACCCTGCAATGAACAGTTAGGAATCATTATACCGAAGAACGTTTACATTATCATTAAAAGTTGATTATCAGCAACATAAAACTATGGTCTTAAAAATCTAAAAAAAAATTCTTCCTGAAAACAGATGACGAGCATAGAGAAAAGTTCAATCATGATTCACAAATCTCATGCCAATCTTAATCGAGTCAAATGAAATCCTAACACCCACATTGAATTCACCAATGGTTTAAGGTGAAGCACATGATGAACTAAATATTAACAGGATCAACAGAACATAAAAACAAAAATTAATGAAGTAGCCACATCTCAAAAGATTAACACTATCATAATTTACCAAAGCCTTCTGAAGGTGAGCCTGTCAGTACCAAATAAAATGCATGAGGACCCTTAGGAAGCATTCAAGAAGTTTATTAAAGATAAAAGTATCAGCAACCTCTCTTAGTCATCACCAATGCAAAATGCCTTGTGCAAAGTATCAATATGTATAGGATTTAAGGTCAGGATTATCTTAGGTAAAAATTCTGTCTTTCTAGAAAATTCTGTCTTTCTAGCAAGAGGTTGGGTCTAATGATAATACAGGTCAAACCAAGGGATCCAAATCCACAGGCTAAACTTGCCAAGAGCAGGAACTAATACAACACAATATGCAAATCAAGGTAGAAGTCACAATTTTCAGAGAAGAAAATGGCATAGTTGACACAACAAAATTCTTAAAGATCGTAAATCATATGGCAAAGTATGAGAAGAAATATTAATTACAAAATATAAACATATAAATATCTTAACTATTGTAAAAAAATGACAATGTTTGGCGAAGAAGAGATAAATCTTCACGCAGCTCTAGCCCCTCGTAAAATACAATCTGATTTATTATCAGGTAAACATAATTTTTAACAAGAAATTAAAGAAAGGTAGCAAATAATCACCTATTCATTTTTCATAATCAATTAGATCAATAAGACTACTAATTATAAATGTTAAGGAATGTTTACTAATGCATACGCTAAACAAATGTCTACCTGAAGTTGACAGCTAAAGGAAACACTAGAAATTTATTTTGCTTGCTGGTCAGTAGACACTTCAGAGTTTAGACGCAGGATATACTTAGAGATGCTTGTTTGAAGCAGATGCCATTAGTGAATCCACATTACCCAGAAAAAAACTATTGAATGAATTCTAGTTAACAATGAACATGGATGTTTCCATTTCTATTAATGATGACAGGTTTTACAATTGAAAAATGAAAATTTAGCCTATAAGAATTTATCATGATGAGTAACTGTTGAGGAAAAATAAGGAAAAACAGTAAAATGTTCAATAGATGGGAAGCAGTAAGATTCATAACAAGCTTCAATACTAAACATAATCTTTGCTCGAAGATAATTTTAACTTCTTCAAGCAACAAAAGAAATTCTGATTTTCCAAGTAAAAGATTATAAAGGTGATGTGAAACAAAAAGGAAGAGAGAAGGAAGAAAAGAAGTGAGATATGGGAGGACAACAGAGAACTCTCTTTTTCAAGAGACACTAAGAGCTAAAAGCTTGAAGCCTTGAAATACACAAGTTTGATACGGTTCCAAAAACTAGATTGCCCCACCAATTTTCCTTCCCTCCCCTCTCATAGATCCCTTGTACATTGAATCTCTCAATCACCTCTTTAATGAGTCATAATTTATTAAAAGCCAAGCACAAATTACAATACATATTAAATTCATGATGTATTGTACTTTGGTGATTTTATATTTTTATAATTATCTCAAGATACGAACATTTTTCTTTAAATTTGATAGGGTTAATCGATAAATCTCGAATGTTAAATGTGAAGTAAGTGCGAATATTAGGAGGAAGTTCAATCTTATAAGCAATGTCATTAATTCTCTTGAGGACTCGACCGGGACCAATTTTCGTCTCTTTGAGTTTACTATAAATTCTTGCAGGAAAATATTCTTTTTTCAAAAAGACCCAAACAAGATCTCCTTCTTATTTGCCTTCACACGACGATGCTTGTTGGCCTTTTTTTTGTAAACTTGGTTGCTAGCTTCAAGTGTCTTCTTTACTTTTTCATGAATTTTTGTCATGGTAATAGCAAAATCCTCTCCCTTTGAACTTGATAAAGGTGATTCATGCATTTTAGCAAGGTCTAGATAATGAAGTAAAATACAACCATAAAAAATCTCAAATAAACTCTTGCCCGTAGAACGATTAACCATAGAGTTATAAGCAAATTCAGCACGAGGTTGCATGAGATCCCATTGTTTTGGTCTCTTTGCAACAAAGCATCATAGCAAATTATCGAATGTCTTATTAACAACCTCAGTTTGTTTATCTGTTTGTGGATGATAAGTACTACTATATAATAGGTTGGTGCCAAATTTCTTATATAAACTTCTCCAAAAATAAGTAAGAAATTTAGTATCTCTATCTGATGTGATAGACTTAGGAATTCCATGAAGTTTGACCACTTCATTGAATTAAAGGTTAGCAATATAATAAGCATCTATGATCTTTTTGCAAGGAATAAAATGTACCATTTTGAAAAATCGATCAACAACAACAAAGATAGACTATGTACATCTTTGAGTTTTCTGTAGATCAATCACAAAATCCATACTTATGTCTTCCCATGGAGTATTAGGAATTGGAAAAGAAGTATATGCACTAAGATTCTAAGTTTGTCCTTTTGAAGTTTGGCATATTCTTTATCTTTTCACATGGCATGCAACATCTCGATAGATTGTAGACCAAAAATATTTTGATTTAACGAGAAGGATTATTTAATCTCTCCCAAAATGACCTCCTAATCCACCATAGTACAGTTCTTGAATAATATGCTCTCTTAGAGAACATTTAGGAATACAAAGTTGAGTTCCACGAAAAATAAAACCATCTTCGATAACATAATCTTCATGATGACTCTTCGTGCATAACTCATGTTTCTTCAAAATCTTCATCATTAGAGTAAGTATTTCTTATTGTATCAAATCCTTCTAATTGGGCACGCATAGTATTAAGAAGCACCAATTGTCGACGGAGTGCATCGACTACTTTATTACATATTCCATTCTTATGGTTAAAGACAAAAGTATACTCTTGTAAAAATTCCATCTATCTTACATGTCGCCTATTAAGATTTGCTTGAGAATTTATATATTTAAGAGCTTCATGATTAGAATTTAAGATAAATTCTCTTTGGATTAAATAAGGTCTCCTCACAGTGCTTGAACAATAGCATAAAATTCAATATCATAGGTTGAATAGTTCTTTCTTGTATTGTTCAGCATTTCACTAAAGAATACAAATGGATATCCTTCTTGGCTAAGTACTCTACCAATGCCCACATTAAAGGCATCAGAATCAACTTCAAATATTTTTAAAAAATCTGATAATGCAAGAACATGAGTAGTGGGTAATTTCACCCTTAGTAGTTCAAAACTATTGTTTGCCTTAGTTGTCCATTGAAACACTCATTTATTTATGCAATCAGTTAAAGGAGCTATAATAGTACTGAAATTCTTAATAAATCGATGATAAAAGGATGTCAATCGATGAAAACTCTGAACATCTTGTAGGGATGTTAGTGTTGGCTACGTCTTGTCACGAACGGTCGTCGCGCACCTGCAACAACTCCGTTCAACGAACCGTTCATCGCTCTAATCTACATGTACAGCTGCTTGGCAGCATGTTTTGGCTTGGTTTTGAGTCCTTTTACTTGTAAAAATGTAAGTTCGAACAAGTTGCAACGCTATAGTACGACTGCTCACCGAACCAAGCAAAACAGCCCAAAACAGCTCCATTTTTGCGTGCCATGGGCTGATTTCTGCAGCCCACTGCTGCACGCGAAACGTCAACCATCTCAGCACCCTGGAACCACCCGGGTGGCACAGGGCTGGATGGGGATTCGATATAGTGTCGGGCGTTGAACACTCTTTCGCAAGTTCGCACGTTACCTTGACGGGAACTTGTTGTCGCGCCCGGCACCCGGTGAGCAACTGTTTATGGACTTGCAGCTGTTCGTTCAATCTTCTAAAGTCCTTGTTTTCCCCCTCTCCCTCTTTTCTCTTGTGCACGCAAGGTGCTCGCTGAATTGCTTGTAAAGCTTCCCCTTTTCGCGAGACGTCGGGACTTGTCCGTCGCTCATTCTTCGAACTAATCAACTTTCTCTTTTTACAGGTCCTTCGGGACCTGCGAGAGGTTGCAAGTGGGCTGATCTTTATGGACGCAAATCGCAAGGGCGAAGCGCGACTTAGGCAATGCAAGCTAAGTTCGTGTCTTTGCCGCAAGGGTGCCTCGCGACTAGGCAACGCAAGCTAAGTTCGCATCTTTACCGCAAGGGTGCCTCACGCCTTAGGCAATTCCAGCTAAGGCCGTGACATTGTGGTATCAGAGTGGGCAAGCACTTCGAGCGAGCAGCAAAGGAACTTCACAACTTCGCCATGGCAAAGCATCGTGACGAATCAAGCAAGACGGGGCAAGCCGGACCCTTGCCCCAAGTAGTCGCAGGTGGGCTGCAAGTGCACATTCACTCGCATGTTGTTGGAGCCGCTTAGGAGGAGCGCGACAGCGAACATGATGAGCGAGAAATTGGCTACTCTCCGTGAGCGAAGGAGGCGCAATCTGGAGCGCTAATCGGGAAAAAGGGTCATAAGGAGAGACTCACAACGACGGAAACCCACTTGGATGTTCTCGAAGCGAGCTTGGAGGAACTCTACCATGGCCAACGAAGGCTTGTTGGGGTAGAGAGCTCGCAAGAAGAAGCAGAGTCCAAGATCGACAAGGTTGAGGCCCTAGTTGACTAATTGTTAGATGACACCAAAGACTCTGTGTAACACCTGCAGGAAGTTGTGGCGGAACTCACTTCGAGGGTGAGCATGCTCACAAGGGCACTAAATGCGGGAGGAAGCAACACCTGCGTTGCAACGCCACAAAACTTGAGGGCACCCGAGCCTCATGGTTATGGAGGGGCCAGAGATGCAAAAGAGCTCGAGAATTTCCTATTCGATATGG